GGAAATTCGTTCAAGCGATCGGGTGCCTCGTCACTTCCAGTTATTCCTCTTTATTTACCCGAAATTACGTTTGACGGAGTCGCAAACTCACGCGGAGGTTCACCGATTGTAAAGGAAGAATCTCGCGAGCGAGAAGCGCGAAATTCGGCTTGGAAATTTGCCTTGGAAAGCTACCGTAAACGATCCATAAATGTTCCACGAACGAGTACACCGTGACTCCTGCTGTTCTACTTCCATTGTATCGAACCAGCGATTTTAAGGGGGTATTAATAATCGATTTCTTTGAGATTTTTTTTTTCTTAAGAAAGCTATGATAGTTTTGATATGCAGTTTTCGTAATTTTCAGATTTATTTTGACTTAAAGAATGTTTTTAATCTTCATTTTTGACAAAATTAATGAAAGTTGTTGAAATTGTATAACGTTAGACAAAGTACAGTATGTTTTTCAAAACGGGTTCGAATGGCTGACATGATTCCGGTCCATCTGTTTATCTGAACAGGAAAAACCAAAGGGCATCTTAATTAATATAGATACGGCTATTGCATGAATCATCAGAGCAGCGAAATTTTGAAAACTGACAAAATGGCAGCATTTTGAAGTTCAAATACCGACTTTTCTTACGCTTTTCGCTTTGGGGGAAAAATAAAAATGGAAAAAATCATCGAATTTTTAAATCCATAGTTCATCCAATAAAGGTATATCCAATGAAGATCTCCTCCAAATTTCAAGCCAATCGGTCAACTAAAACGCGAGATATCCCGTCAGCCAGTTCACAAAGTACGATTTCCAGAAAAACGCATTTACAATTTTTGTTACAAATATTCAAGACTTGTACGATTTATCATACCGTTCTATAATATTACATATTTCGTTTCTTGGAATAATGATCAGTGATAAAACGAAAAATCTGATAACAGATGAATGTAGTACATAGCAAGTCATCAATATCTGACTCACCCGTACCAAAGCAATAAATTTTCCAGCCCAATTTTACGAATTTTCCACCCCAATTCCTAAAGCAAGTTTACACGCGTATTTCTTAACGTCCAAACATTAAGAAAATGAAAAAGGGAGAAGAAAAAGTCGACTACTTTGACTGTTTAAACCAGAGAACACCCCCTTAATTCGGATATTATTTACCCGCGACCGCGAACAAGGGTTGCCGAGGACCCTGTTCCCGCGGTTCCTCGCAACGGAATTATAGCTCGGCGTCTGTGTAAACCAAGGCGGATATTAGTCCAGCATTCGCTTACCCTTGTTACAGTCGAGCGGAGTTTCTCTTTCTTATTGAAATGCTAATAATTCCACCCCGGCCCGGCAATCTCCCGTTTTACCTCTTCCTGCAGCCCGGCTCCCTGCCGGCTAACGTTATTCCGCTCTAGAAACGAATTTCTCCGCGAGACGCGTCGCGGCCACTGTTTCAGACGTGCTCTATACCCCGGCGGAAAATTCCGCCTGCGGAACGTGATTTAAAAGAACTCCTATTTTACGTGAGTTCCGCGGCAGCCAAATGTCAGCTACGTGTGCGCCGTTTTACGGTTCGGGCTCGCAGTTTTACGAGCCCCGTGAGCTGCGTTCGACGATTCACCATCCCATGTTGACACGCCCGATGGCGCCACTCCCAGCAATTACCCGAATTTATTAACCCGCCGTTTCCACCATGATTCCGATATTTAAACGCGCCTTTCTTCCCAGTCGTCATTTCTCCCGGCCGCAGCATCGATCACCTGGATTTATCGGCGCGCCGAGATTCGCGTGTTTCCTTCGCTCCCGTAATTTACATTTGCGAATAAATTATCCTGTTTACGACGCTGTTCCGATGACGGCTTTATTGCTCGCCGATTACGGAACACAAATACCTTTCCTTTCAAGACAAATATCGCTCCTTTGACTGTGACGTTTAGCACGCATTCGTCTTCGTTCGCGGTTGCTCGTTTCACGAGTGCTATTAAATATTGACGTGCATACACCCTTCGAAAGCTTGCGATCGCTCCTGATATCGATGATTTATGGGAAGAAAGTGTAGGTAAACGTGGTTAATGACGAAGCATCAGGCCTCTGTCTTGTGGTCCTTGGTCCTTGTTATATATATTCCTGGATATTATATTTAAATGAATATATTTCATATTTATTATATTACTTATTGCTCCTTATTTTATATAGTCCTGGATATTATATTTAAATGAACATATTAAATATTTATTGGACAGTATTATAACACAGGGTAAAAATTATCGATGAAATATATGATATATAATATATTAACCCTTTGCACTCGAGAGGTGACTCTCAGTCACCATTTAATCAGATTCTAAAGATCGACGTTAATTAATATATCAAATTTAAAATTACCTAACGATGCGTGCAATGTCGAAGTAAAATAATTCTACGTCTTAATTTGCATGCGATTTCTTATTTGCCATTTTAAAAATATCCTCGACTTTATGACAGAAAGTCTTCGAATTACTATTTTTCTGTAACGAAAAAAGTCGTCGAGTGCGAAGGGTTAATATAATTATAATTGTTAGTGGTGAATTGAATATCAATTACAATGAGAACAATTCTTTATTTAATTGTAAAGAATGATCAAACACAAATATTAAGTATAAACCTAATTAATTTCTTGCAATCATATGCTCATACCTATTTTCACTATACAACTCAATTATAACTGACCTATGTCTAATTTCTCTGGTTTGTTCTTTCTATTTTCATATATTACATGAACATACACAATTCACGTCATATCTCAATCATTACATGCATACTCAGTTATCACAATAACTTGAATCCATTAGATATTGACATCCTATGCATATTTGTCTCACTCATCTCTTTCTTACAGACATGTCTTCTTTGTTATATCAACACATATATATTCAAAATCTGTGTCAACCATTACCACAGTAATTATAATATACATAAATATATAATATTTTCACCATACTCTGTCACTCGTTTACTTTCAGTCAATTCTGAATTGCAATAATAATATACCACACTTCATTCTTTCTTACATAAATAATTTATTTTTACATGAGTATGTATATTACGATCTATATCAACCATTACCATAATAATTATAACATATATAAATACATAATATATTTTGTTTACTATTTTTCACCATACTCTGTCACACGTTTACTTTCAGTCAATTCTGAATTGCAATAATAATATAGCACACTTCATTCTTTCTTACGTACATAATTTATTTTTACATGAGTATATATATTAAATCTATGTCAACCATTGCCACAATAATTATAATATATATAAATACATAATATATTGCATTTACTATTTTTAACATACACATTTACTTTCAGTCAATTCTGAATTGCAACACAGTCTGTACCACACAATTTATTTTTACATGAATATGTATATTAGCCCTTTGCACTCGAGAGGTAACTCTCAGTTACCATTTAATCAGATTCTAAAGATCGATTGATTAATATATGAAATTTAAAATTACCTAACGATGTATGTAATATCGAAGAAAAATAATTCTGTGTCTTAATTTGCATATGATTTCTCATTTACCATTTTAAAAATATCGTCGACTCTATGACAGAAAGTCTTCGAATTACTATTTTTCTGTAACGAGAAAGTCGTCGAGTGCAAAGGGTTAAGATCTATGTCAACCATTATTACACTTGTATCTGCAAATATTTTATAAATTTGCGGATTCCTATTGCGTTGTTTTTCGACGATTTGTCGTCCCTTTAATTCACTGTTTGATAGTGTTTATAATTCTCATTCCTTGCCTTAGAACATAGTACTCATTTCATACTCACCTCGTCTTTAGAACGCAGACGACGAGGATTCGTTGATCGAATAAACTCACAATCAGTAGACATTGACTATAGCTCTCGAAATGCTTAATTTTTCTGGCAAAATCAAATAGTAATGTGTCAACCACGAGGGAACGAAGTTGAACTATAATTGCAGGGAAATCTGCGTAACGCGATTCGCGATTCTTCGGGGGGTGAGTGTCAGAAGAGTGTTCGCATTCTCGGCAGCAACCCGCGCGAATCCCTTTATCCTGCAGCTCACCTAATAAACTTAGACTCGTATCCTCGCAGAAACGCGGATAAGGCGAGAGATTGTATTATACCTGACACGCTGCCGTCGGGACGCCGTCTCCCCCGGGGACGGCTGCCGACGCCCTTGTTTCCCGGTGACGCGCACAGTTTCGTTTTTCCCCCGTGTCGCGATACGCTTACCAGCTCGAATCAGTCCAGACCGCGAGGTTCCTCCGGAAAACCAGCAACTTCGCCTAATCTTGGGCACGATTCCGGAAATTCTTGGCAATGACTATTCCCAGCTGAAATACACCCTCGTCCTTCGCTCTTATGTCAATGAGGGATTGAAGAGCAGAGCATCTTCCTGCGTATTCTCTTGACAGGTCTATCAAAATCTTAGTCTTTTCTTTTTGAATTTGGAAAATAATATTTTAATATAACGAGAGATTTCTACGTCCTTTGACACTTTGGCTGCCACGCTGGTCATATATGACCGGCCACGGTTCCTCCTATGACGTCACGGTGGTCTACCATTGAACTACATTGAATGAAAATTGACAGTTAGTGCATTTTCATTATAACCGCTAATTAGAAGATACTTTGAAATAAAAAGTGCCTCATTGAACAGATAAAACTTTTTATTCGAACATCAAAAACATATTAGAACAAAGTGTGATAATCAAAGAGTTAAATAATTTTGGTTAGTACGGATAATAATTTTGGTTATTAGTATATGTATGAGATTAATTTATCCATGGTATTTTATGTGACTCTGTATCCGTTGTTCGGGAATGTAATTCTGAATTAAATTCCATGGGACCAAAAAATTCGATGAAGATAATATTTTATTATCTGGAGCTGCGGGGTGTAAAATATGTGAAAATGGATGTTCGTGTAATAGTAAATTTTACGATCCGTCTTCGCTTCGAGTTTAGAATTTTGGAAAATAATATTTTAGTATGGCTAGGGATATGGGGTAAATAGAAATAGAACGCGAATAAGATTAATTTGTGGTCCTGTCGTTTGACTTTCTAAATTCGAATTAAATTCCATGGGATCAAAAAATTCTGCACAAATAATATTTTATTATCAGGAGGCACGGGATGTAAAATAAATAAAAATGGATGTTCGTGTAATAGTAAATTTTATGTTACACACTGTTCGTGTTGCATATAAATCTTCGTATGCTCCCATACCCATTTTTACATTATAAAAATGCTTGTAATAGCTCTTATGCGAAATTACATTGTTCCTTATTTAATTCTTTACGTAAATTTAGAGTTTGGGCATAGTCTTCGACAACAGATGCCTAATCAAAAAATTAGAATTATCGTGCTCATCAGCTTTGGCTTTTATATGGGTGACAGGAGCTGAGGAGGGAGAAAGGTGGGCTTATCTTGACATGTCAATAATGACATAACACAGGAAATGATCATAGTGTCATAGTGGTACTCAAAAACTCTAAGAATACAGATTTCACACTTTAAATTCACCCTCTTGCAAATCAAATTTACCCTTTGGCAAATCAAGTTCTCTTACATAAATATATTATTTAAAAAAGCATAAAATTATAAATTAGTCAGTAAGAAATTAAAAATGTTATTAAAAGTATAAAATCGTTACTCAAAGTTACCATCCGCTTTTTCTTCTTTTAATTTTACTGCACAAGAGAAATCCCATTTACGAATGAAAAGAGTTATTAAAACTTTATTCGTCGATTTTACCCCGTCATAGTCATTTTGTGCCAGCAAAAATAATTGCTGCAACTCGTTATACTTTACGTGCACGCAAACTGTCATTGAAATCAGAATTTCTAGTTTAGAGAACTCTCTTTAACACTTTGACTGCCACGTTGGTCATATATGCGACATATGCGACACCACGGTGGTCAGGAGAAAACGTGGCAGTCAAAGTGTTGAAAAAATCGCGGAAGGAAGTGAATCGAAGAAGGACATGCACTCGAAGACGAGGAACAGCCCTCTTAATTGCTCTCGAGCCCGCTGCCGAGTTCTCCAAACACCACGGGGAAACGCCCTCGTTATCGTGCCACTCCATTCACCCCCGTCACCAGCAAACGAACCAATTCTTCAAATTACTTCCATCGCTTAGCCCGGCGAGAACGGAGACCCGCGATGCTCGAGCAGCCCGAAGAAAGATCGAGCTCGCTCCTAGGGCTAATTCGACATTAATTGCGCGTTTCTCGCGACCGGCCTGTGTATAAACCATAAACTGGCCTCCCTTCGAGGGGGTGGCCTCTTAATTGCTAGCGAATCCAATTACGGGGCTCGAGGCTTCGGCCTGGCAGGGTAAAAGAAACAAAGGAAGTCGAGCTGGCGGAAACGGGGAGCGTAGCGAGAAATCAGCGTGGACGTATTCAATTAGCCGGCGAACGGCGCTTCGCGAGTAATTAGTATCGGGTCGCGAGTAGCCCGAATCGCTTTCCCCGACCCTGCAGCTTTCGATATTTTGTTTGCTCCTCCGGCACGAGCGCGCACACGCCGTGCTAATAACGATAAAGCCGCGTCTCTATTACCCATTGCTGCTCCGGCAACGATTATCGCCCCGAGACAACGACCCCTTGCCGAGAACTCGTTCCCTCCTTAGTTTGTGGCAACCGGGACGCGCGTGCGTTAATTCCCCCTCGATGAAAATTCTCGGGACGCGAGTGCTGTTTCGAGAAACCAACCACCTCTCGTATTCTTCTCACATGCACGGGGTTGCCCCGTTTGACACGCCGCGTCGTGTGTGGCGAAACTGGTGCGGTTTATCTTAAGGATTAGTATGGGGTCTTAAGGATCCGCCATTTAAGGGACGTTTGCGGTTGTAAAACACCCAACAACCCGCAATTGGTCGTCGTTAAATGGAGGAAATCGCAGGGAGACCAGGGATCAGGAGAAGGTCCTGTTCCGTGGACCCTGATCTGTCGCGATTTCAGCCACTCCTGCAAGCACAATTTCGATCGGTGAACGCTGTTATTAGGATTTATCTGTAAGAGATAAAGAGATGGAATATGTGACAGGCACGTCGTGGCAGAAATTTGAATCCTAGACAAATGACGAACCGTTTAATTTCATTCTATAACCATAAAAAGCGAATCATGAAGCAGATGCTCGATAATAGGGTATCGGATATAGGAGAGTAAAGCGGAATTCGTGTTCTGCGGGTCCTCCCCTATGGTTGTTGAAGGCTGCTGGTTGCAGGTATCCTCGTGGTGTTAGAAAGACGGAAGGAAAAGGAAGGGACGCGTTTGGGCCTGGGCCCCCTAGTGGACTCGTCAGTAAGGCTACCTAGCAGACCCTGCCTTAGACGGGGATACTATCGCAAATTTTGAAAATTTTATATATTTATAAAAATATCTGAAAGAATGCGACGAAAAGTTTCTCCTTTAACACCGAATTTTTCGTCAATTTCTTTTTCTCAAATTATCGGGGTAACCTTTGAATTTTTACAAATGTACGGAATTACCATAGTCTTGGAAAATCGAAGATTCTGTTTCTGTTACGAAATTTCTAAATACGCGAAAAATTAATTCGCTAAATTAATTCTCTAAATTGCCCTGCCTTGTACTATTAGCAATATTGGAAATTTATTTATTGAACGGGAAAACCCATTAGAATACGAAGAAAATAAACGCAGGCGGAGTTTACAAGTTTCTTAAAATAGAACTACGACAAACGTCCAGAGAAACACCAAAAAGCTCTATTGCTTGATTATTATTATTTGCTAAGAAAGTAATTCGACATATAGGACCGGTATTTGAGAATCGTGATTTGTAATAGACAGGCCGGAATGTAGGCGATGTTCTAAATGTTCTTTGAGGTACATAAAAGTTTATATCACTAAGTAAAGGACATTTAATCACGCCATTTAAAATTTTGTAAAGAAAAAGGAAGTCCATAACTGTCCTAGGTGCTGATGGGTTGAGATTCAATTTGTGCAGGATAGGTTTATAATCGTAGTCAGTAAAATGGGTACCCTGAGCTGCAAATATCATGAAGCTAGGTTGCACTCCCTCAATAAGCTTTATATGCTTGTTAACGTGGGAAGACCATACAATAGATGGATTGTATATGTGTAGAAAACGGAGGATTTTTCCGAGGACTTTCTAGCAAGTCCTAGAATCTCCTTCAACTAGAAATCCATCTATTGGCGATGGTGAAAACGATGCCGCTGTAATGTCATAATTAAACTAATTTTTCCACCCCTCTCCTCTCCTCTCCACCCCTCGCGCTGTCGAAATTGCAACAGGATTATTAGCGGTGGTATCCGTTTTGCATCGGTTTTAATATCGCGTTGTAATATCGAGTTAATGCCGGAACCGATAAAGAACCCATTGTATTTATCGAATGATAACGACCGATGGAACAAATAGCTTGCAGCACGAGCGGTCCTGGCGGCCGATGTAAGCGCCGCCTATGTCGAAGATCGATAATCAATTCCGCGGAGAAGCTTACGTTTCGAATGAATTATTCGCGTAATTAGGGTGGCCGGCTAATCGTGGAATTAAATTATCAATAAATCACGAGCTCGTTACCGGGTTGGACAATAACAACGTTTAATCCAGCAACAGCCGCGCGGCGTAATCGTGCCGGTTCATTCATCGTCGCTAGGCGTAGCTGGAATGCCGTTTTTTCAACGCGTCGCGCACTGTCTCGGCCGAGTGACCTCGTCCACCTTCCTCTTGGGTATTTTTAAACGTTTCGAGACGAGAACGTCGCTCCCGGCTTCGAAGATCGTCGCCAGTCGTGCGCCGATCGTCGCTCGATTTTTCTCGAGCTCTCCGAGCCTGTCCGAGCGTCCGTTTCTCGGTACGACGAACTCGAAACGACTAGTTGCCATCTTCGAACCGGAGGGTAATCGTCGGATCCGCTTCCGGTCGCGTTGGTCCACGCGGAAGCGTCGAGTTGGCGAAGCGAGTTCCCCGGAGCGGCGCGTCCCCGATTTCTTAAAATATCCGCGCAAACGCGGCCGCTTCATTTCACATTCCGGAAGAGGGATGTCCAGGGCAGAAGACGCGGTAAAAGCGTGGCTAGGTTAGAAAGAAAACGGGTCTGTGTACCGTGGCTTGAACCGAGTGGAAACTGTCCGATGATCCCGTGAAACTGTGCCAAGGAGCAGCTTCTTTCGATCGCCCCAATTTCCCCTAGTCGTCGCGCCTTCTCGAAGCGGACTATGACGAGACCCGCTGCTAATACCGACGTGTTACGAAATTCTCCGACATCGAAACACCGATTCCACGCGTGGAGCCTTCCTTCTCTTCTCATATGTCTGTTTCGCTACCGGGACTTCTCTGACCACCGCAGTTCGCGTTTTACACGCTCGAAATACGGAAGAAACTTCGAGGAACACTGGTTTCAGAGTTCTTTCAGCCAGTCGTGGTGGTGATCTTTCCTTCGGGATGGAGTTCCGTAGAGCTTGAGCTTGCAACGATCGCGGTTCTTTCTCCTCTCGTTCTATCTCTGTTCGAGAAGATTGTGTCCTCCTTCAGATTCAGGGCGGAATCTGGGTCTCGAAATTTGCTGCTTACGTTCGGAGTCTGACGAGCAGGGATAAAACTCGAGCTATTTTCGCGGAGGAGTTCGATTCTATGGTACTTGGACGATGATAGAGGCCGGAGCTGGAGACGAAATAGTTTCCAGAGGCTCGAGAGCTCTCGAGATTATCGGCCAACGTGTCATACGCTTTTATCACCTCGCAGCTCCCAAGTTTCACACCCCGATTAAAAAGTTAAGGAGTAGTTGGACGTATCGGTAAAATACCAAAGAACGAACTTCTGTGCCGTTCTCTAGATAGAGAACTTGCCTGTCTGAAAATCGTCTTTAAAAGTCTATACTACGCTTCCTTCTTCCTCGAACGTCATTTAAAAATACCAAGTTTCGATAACCGGAGTTATCAAGTTTTTCCAAGTTGCCAAGTTTCGATAACCATAATTTCAATCCCTTTCGTTATTCTTAGAAATCGAAATCGCGAGAGATCGATCTTTTCGCTCGCGAGGACTGTGTGATCGATAACGATTGATAGAACGAACACTCGACTCGCCGATCGTGGCGTTTGTGAGGCACCCGGGGACGAGAATCCGTGTAATCTGCGTGGAAACGCGAGTCGCCGGCGCTCGAAGCCGATTCGAGCGCGGGCCAGCCTCGAGGACGATGATGGACAGTGGCAGAGGCCGCGAGAACTTCCGGTTTTCCGCGGTGACGTCGCCGGGGGCCCGCCGTGCGAGATGCCGCAGCAGAAGTTCCACTGCGGCGACTGCAAGAACCGTCTGCCCGACTTGACCAGCGACATGTGTCGTCTGTTGTCTTACAAAAGTCTGAACGGCCTGGCGAAGGAGAAGGACAAGAGAAGGAGGAACGAGGAGGATGAAAAGACGTCGAAGACGCTGGAAGACAAGGTAAGAGTCTTCTCTGACAGACGGAACTGACAGTGGATGGCGAAACGGCTTTGAGTACCAGCTGCGTTTCGTATGTCGCTTTCTTGTCTGGACCGTGTAACGAATTTCGAAATTAAAGCAAGTAGTAGTACCCGGACAGTCGACTGTGCCAAGCATTTTAGCGATTTTTAGCAAATACTGGACCTATATATAATAAATTTTAGAGTCACGTGACGAAGGGTTGCTCGACAAACTTATTTGCTTGTTGATTTATTTATTAATTTATGCAACAGCTTCTTGATACTGAGCCTGTTAAGGAATTAGTGGAAGTCGTATACGTGGTGGGAAATTATTTAATCTTGAACAGTGCAGAATATAATTTTAATAGTTTTATATACGAGTAATCTTTGAGACATTAGTCTTTGTTCCACTCACCACATAATTGTCCTGATTAATATTAGCTTAAATAGATAGCAATATTGCCATAAATTGTCATAAATTCTAGATAAAACCTATCATGATCAGGTGATCGGTGACTGAAAGAGAATTAAAATCGTGGTAAAATGGAATAGCAGAAGATATTGGAAAAATTATTGTACGTAACACTTAACCTAGCATAATCAAATGACCAGTGAATATAAAAGAATTAAAATCTTGGGATAATTTTGAGAGACATTGAAAAAATTATTATACGAATATTGGAAGAAAAATCGCGAAAACGAGTGATTGCGATAATAATGTCGAATGCGAAATTTTTAATAGCAGTTTTGAAAACACTATGGTAGGTTTAGTGATACTGCACCTATGTATCCAGTTACTATTAACTCAGTATCGATTAATGTAACGTGGTCCACGATTGTACGAAGCTTTTTAGCTTTTTAATAACTTGATATACCGAAGACATTATTTTTATAAATTTATTAATAATTTGAATGTAACTAGCACCCTTGATATTATCGAATGATGCTGCACCTGCAGTGGCTAGTGCATATGACACGTGCAGGTCAAGATCAGAAATCGATAAGGAATCTACTGCTATAAACGCTTATATGCCTTATTAAGGAATAATTGACTCGAGTGAGAAGGTATCGCGGAGTACTTGCCGACAACCAAGTGCTATTCCGGGTTAAGTATCTCTCGCCGAAATTTCATGAAGGATGGGTGCCCCCCCCCCCCGCCGCTTTTCACGCCAGTTCGCATCCATTTCTAATTCTCCGATTTTTAGAAGTATTGTTATCCCGAGGTGTGTTTCGAACACGCTATGGATAAAAAAATCTCCAGTGTTTTTTACCTCCTTGATTCCTCCGAATTACACCCTAACTCTCTATAATTAATTGCTATCCAACTTCTGTGAGTATCAATTGAATTTAGTGTTCGTGAATATCACATTTTCGAATACTAACTATAATACTATTCCTACTGATGGATCTGCTGCCTGCTTGCTATGAGTCAGAGTTGGTGAATCAATTTCTCCTTTGAAACTAAGTCTGACTTGACGTACGTGTGTGTATCCTTGCTATTCCGAGTGCTCTTTCATTGAAAACTTTCTATATCCAATTTCGCTTATTCAATACCAGGATTGGTGGTCCCAATTAAGTTGGCTTGATAGGAAAAATCTTACCATCATCTAGTAAAAAATGAAAATTTGTTTCTATGGATAGCAAATAATTCAGCCTCATTGTCTCCAAAACTCTCTCTATCCCTAATCGTACGTGTTTCCTACTATACGGAATAGTCAATGAACGCTATCACTCCCTTCGAAATGGTTTATATGGACTATCAGTTATGAAGATTCCTAAAGGAAGAAGAAGAAGAAGAAGAAAAAGGAGGAGGGAATACCTTTCCTCGGAAACACTGTGTTAGTGGTGTACTCGTAACAAAATTGGGTCAGCTTTGCAAGACAGGCGGAACATCCTTAATAAAAAGCAGCGTAAGAACACGAACAAAGGAATTCCAGCAATAAAGCAACGCAAGAACACGAAAAGGGAACACGAGGAACGAGTTACGGCAATAAAAATGACGCGAGAAGACGCCAAAAAGGAGAGTCTTCCGATAGAGGCATCGTGGGAGAGCACCGACAAAAGGACCAGGAAGGAACATAACGTCGGTAAACAAGGAAGGAAGGGGGAAGGTTCCACGAATGAAAATACAAATGGCGGGCAACGCACGGATCTCATTAGTGGCGATTGCCGGCCCGGCAGAATTAATGATTTTCACGCAGACACCGTGATTCGGATTAATCCCAGGGAAATTGTTTTGCACGCTTTAATTGCTGTCAGAAATGTTCCGTCTGTACGCGCAACTTCGAATCACAGAACGCACCCTCTGTGTCGATTTGTTTTCTGAATTAAACTTCAACCATCGGCTAAAACTCGTAGCCTGTATCCTGTTCCAAGAGTTTTGCATTCTAATCGTGTCTATATCTTCTTACGAATGTGAACTCATTAGCTGATTCTCAGAATGCATTTAACGCTAATAACAAATCTGTAACGATGAAACAATGCTTTCGATACAACATGAAATATATCATCGCAGGCGTAATTTATTCTAGCGAAGATATGAATCACTGAGGAATTTTAACGAGTGAATAAAACTACTGTTAGTACATCGCGAATGCCAAATACTGGGTGACTATACTTATTGCTGATTCGTCACGAATTTTTAATATTTAGTGACAGTACTCGTCATTGATGCATTACAAATTTTTAATATTTAGTGACTGTACTCGTCGTTAACACGTCACAAAATTTTAATAGCGAATGACTGTACTCCCAGTTAATATATTACAAATTTGTAATAAGCATTGACTATACTCCCCGTTGATACATCACAAATTTTCAGTATTCAGTGACTATACTCATCGTTCTAACATCCACTTATCAAAAAATGTTTGCTTACAATAATACTTATAGTCAAAGCTCGTCAAAAATCGCTCGATATTGTTTACCGATATTCCTTCATTACTTCCACCTTCGCCCACCAATTTCAAAACCACGCGGGCACCACTATGTACACCCTTACGCGTGCACGCGTTAATTTAAATCTGTGTATTTCGCGAAGTTAATTTCGCAAGAAATTCAGCGGAACCTCCACAGCTTTGCCGACAACTTCCCGGATAATCCAAGCGAACAAAACCTCTCGAAAGTAATTCCCGCGTTTAAGCACCTCGACCTTCGCAGATCGGGCAAATTCTGCGCCAAATTCCCCATCAACGAACCGCGGCCCCGAAGAAGTCAATTCGCACCCCGTGGAAAACCCGCGCGGCCAGATTAAACAAATGTACGAGCGGAACGCGTAGCAACAGCGGCCACGACGCGCGTGAATGGCGGCCGCTCGCGGGTACGAGCTTATCGAGTGCCGCATGACAGGACGTTTTACTCGGATTGCGAGCCGGGGTCGCATAACTCGATGAAACGGTTTGTCGGGGCAGAGTCGGGGGTGGAACGTCGAATCGTTCGATTCGTTTTTCCTCCACCTCTTCCGGCTCTCTCCACTCTCTCCGCTCTCTCCGTGACCCGCTCCGGGGATACGTTTCGTCGTCGTTTCGCTCGGAATAGTGTTTCGCCCGGCAATCGAGTTCCATCGAGTTCCATCGAGTTGAACGGGCCAGGTATTGCGCGGTGGCTCCGGCGTTCCATTCGTTACATCACCGAAATATTGCAGCCAGTGCACGTTTTGTCCTCGAGCATGAACGCTCCTTGGCTCAACGTGTTCCAAACGTTCGCCAATCAGGTCCTCGCTAATGCTTCGGATTCTCGGATACTTTTGATTTTGGATTTTCTACTCGCCGATAGAGTTACTTTGACTCGTGCTTGCCCGAGTATCGACTCTGTGTTACTACCTCTGGAACAAATTTTCGGTCATGAGATAGCACTGTGGAAATGCGATAGGCACGGCCCTGAAAAATTGCGAAGACTGCCTGGGACGTGGTAATACAAGAACGAATGCATAACTTAGGCTGATACTGTACGTTCGAGAAAGGAAGGCACAGCGTGTTTACATTCTCACGGCTGATTAACACGTTGAATGCCACGCCAGTTTTACAGGGATTGCTCGTGGCGCCACGATGAATTTTCTATTATGTGGTACATATAATGTTGAAATATTATCTGCAATAGATAAGTTACTATGTATAACCATGTTTGACATGTTAATTGTGGCGGAGGTTTTCTTTGAATTAACTATGGTAATAATAAAAATTTCTAAATATTGACATTTGATTGAATTATATATATTTCTATCAATCTGGGCGCACCGGTCACAGGTGGCCCCAGTGGCGCCACTGTCAAGTTGAGTACTGGTCAACGGTGACTCCCGTGGTGCCACTGCCAAGTTGAGTACTGGTCAACGGTGACCCCCATGGCGCCACTGTCAAGTTGAGTACCAATCACCGATGACTTCCATGGCATTCAACGTGTTAACTCATCTGAATCTCCCTTGATCGCAGGCAATAGTCGAAAATTGGCCACTATTTTCCGAAAATGGTGACCGATGATCTTCGTCACCATGTACTGCCTATGATCATGGCAGTGTCAGCGGAGTTAATGAGCTATGACTAGGTAAACACACTGTGCCTTCTTTCCTCGAACGCACAGTACCTGCGTGTGCACGCGGAAGGACAGAAGTGACCGCGTGCAAGAGGATCGAGTAGATGGGCTATTTATGATATGCTAGGTATAGTTTTGAAGATTATGAATTAAACTGAAGGGGAACGAATGCGTAAGGGGATATATAGGGTGTGAGAGAAGTGCGTGGAGAGCAGTTGTGGCTGAGAGTTCTGAGAAGGCAGTTGAAGAGTAGCAGTTTTTGAGTGAGAGTCTAGTGAGAGACTTAAGAGTGTCGTGAGTGAGAGCTTATGCGAACGAGTATTATCTTTTAGTTTAAATAAGGCTGTTACTGTTACTAAAGAAGCTCTTATTCCTTCTCAAACCTCGGAACCACTATCTATGAGGGATTTAACCAGGATAATCCCTGCAATATGAAATGATCTAAAGTTTCTGCTACTTCTTAGACGCAAAGTG